AAAAGATAAAGCGAGCGCCCTTTGAAAATAGCCTTAGACGTTTAAATAAAAGATAATTTCCAGGGACATCCTTCCCTAGCGAGGCAGGCGTCCTGGGGATTGCACAAGGCAATTTGCAACAAAACGCAATGCCCGCCTTATTTAAGCACGACCAAAAAAAAAAAAAATAATATATGTATCAAAACAAGAAAAGCGAAATCCTCTCAAATTGGCGGTTTCTCCATCTTGCTCCTCAGCGATGCCTATTTTGCATCTGCTGGGAGGTTTGGCACTGGATGGCTGAGGCGGCACCGAGGAGAAGGAAACACGGGCTCAAAGGCAGAGCGAGCGCCCGGCGCTGCTCCAACGCACTCGTGTTTCTGGTGGAGAAGTGTCCCCAGCTGCTCTGGGGACGGCGGGGACCCGGGGGGAAAGCTCCCGTTCCCCGGTTCACCGAGACGATCGCAACGATGGAAAAGTTGCCCGCCCATTGATCTTCCGCGGACACACCGCGGGCAAGTTCTAGCCAATTACTTAAGAAGCCTCCGGTAATTACAAATCAAAGGGACTAAGCTTGCAAAGGCATCGAGGAGCCGAGGTCTGGACTTACATTTCGCACATGCAGAGAGCAGGTAATGTCTCTGTCGCTCGCTGGGCGAGTGGAGTGCACAGTGCAGAGGCCACGGGCAAGTGCTGGGGAGGCTTATTCCAGCAGCGCCCTAGCACTGCCGGGAGGGAACAAGCCTTCTGCCGGGAGCAGCACCGTTTCCACGGGGCTGTACGAGGCTCGGAAAACGTGCTGCGGGCTGCCAATTTGGCTTTCAAAGTATTTTTTTGCCGTGGATTACTCTGTAAAATAAAATCCTCTCTCGTAAGTGACAGGATGTCATATGCCCCTCGCCCCCCCCTACCCCCGCCCCGCTACGAGAGCAAAGGGGATGCCCGTCGGGTCCCTGCCTTTGGAATTTTTGGGCGCCTTGTGTAAGTAAAAAGCCTCTCCGGTTCCTTCTGCAAAGAAAGTAAGAAACACGTTGTGACACCCGGAATCACTTCTAGTATTTAGGAAAACAGAACACAACAAAATAAGGCTTTTCCACGAGATGCCGTTAGGTTGCCGGTACCCAGCACGGCCAGCTGCCCGACGGCCACCCGGGGGAGGGGAGGGCCCGCTGGAGGAAGCGAAGGCAGGTGGGGTTCACCGGCGGCGAGGACGGCAGGTGGCTGGGCCAGCAGCGGGGGGTCCGGCCCCTCCTGCCGGGTTCTGCGGGCGACGGCAGGCGGGACACCGGCCCCCGCTCCCGACTCCTGCCCTCGGCGGCCCGGGGGAGGGGGTGGCAGTGACACCCCCGGTGGGGCCTCACACACACACACACACACATTCGTTAATTGCGGTGGTCCGGTGCGGGGAGTTTTCTTTTCTCCCCACCCCCCCCCAACCCGCGTCCCTTCGT